AAGGAACTCTGTAAAAATATTATTAACAAAGTAAAAAACAGTTAATAAATTATCCACACTGCATTGCAATATCTCCAACTATAGACCTATTGCCTTACTACCTGTCCTATCCAAAATTATTAAGAGACTTATAAAAGCCCGACTTATGTCATTTGTCCTTGAAAACAACATTTTATCACAAAGTCTCGGCTAATCTAATATTCGGTATGTAATAAATGTACCAGCGATGCTACGTTTTCTGTACTAAATGAGGTCTATCAAGCACTAAACAATAATCTTTATACTGCCACTGTTTTTAGTGATTATGGCAAAGCTTGTGATTGTGTAAATCATGATATTTTGATTTTGATGACAAAATTAAATTTCTACGGAATTCGAGATACTTCTTTGAATTGGTTCCAATCTTACCTGAGCAATAGGAAACAACTAGTTAGAGCAAATGATACTGACTCTACTGAAGGTTCAGTATTGGGTGCTATACTTTTCCTTATCCTTATAAATGACATCACTAACTTAAACATCGATGATTTTTTGTTTTTTTTTTTTTTTTTTTTGTTTTGCTGATGATACCAGTATTACCTGGATGAACTCTAATATTACAATTTTTCAGGCAACAATAACTTCTGATCTACTTAAAATAAAAACTTGGTCCGACTCTAATCTACTCTCTTTTAACGTGGACAAGACAGTAGAATTATCCTATAAAGGATCTCTTCAACCCTTGCTTCTTAATAACAGCCGGATCAGTATCCTTGATTCTGTAAAATGTCTTGGTATTTTTATAGACAGCAACCTTAAATGGTATCTTCATATCGATTCGTTAAGTAAGAATCTAGCCTCAACCTGCTATGCAATAAGATCATTTTTGAAGGAAATCAATTTAGCATCTTCCAAAATAACATATTTTCTTTGTTCGAGCCTCAATCTGATGTTATTTTTAAATTACACAAAGGTGCAATACCGTTTTTTTTGGTCTCAGTAGAATAACACATTGCAGAAGCTACTTCAAAATTTACGGGATTTTAACTCTTTCCTCTTTATATATTTTAGAAACGGTTTGCCTAATTCGTAAACATCTACATGTGTTTCCAGCAGGACCTAATCATGACTACTCCATCAGAAATTTAACCTTTGATGTGTATTTACCGATCCCGTCCACTGAGTTAGTAAAGAAATTTATATTATATTCGGCAAAAAAATTATACAACCATCTCCATCTCCATTTTTCAACTTAAATCTACAACTTCTTTCCTTAAGTTCCGTAAATTGCCAAAAGCCCATCTATCTGAAAGGCCATATTTAAGTGGAACAGTTTCTTAAAGAATAACTAACAAATCACAGTACGTTAGGTACAAGCAACTAAAGTATTTTACAATTTTCAGTGACAATAAAGCATATTTCTATTCTATTCTATTCTATAATATAGCTTAAGGCCGCAAGAAATAGTAAACAAGGTGAAACCTCAAATGAATTTCATAATTTACATAGATATGACGTGGATGATAAGAAGAAAGATACAATTAACTAAAAATACAGGAAAGAAGGGAAAATACATAAAAATATAAGAAAATTTTATAATTGTAACCCAAAGGAACTCTGTAAAAATATTGTTAACGAAGTCAAATTATAGTTATTAAACTATACACACTGCAATGCCAAAAGAGACTCAAAGAATAGGAATAAAAAACAGAATGAGAAAATATGAATAAAATGAAATCGTAGGCTTCCACAGCCAGAGTCAGAATTATAGTTTATTCGTCTTCCGGGTTTGGACCGTGTCATTTGTGAGTGACCCAAAAGTGGGTTCATCTCGACGTTTCGCTACAATTGTATGTAGCTTCTTCAGGAGAACAAAAAAAGGAAAAAAGGAAAGAAAGAAGAAAACAAAGAACAGGAAGATGGGTAGTTAGCAACGGTAACTCAGTTACTCAACGCAACCAGAGGCGAATACTAACTACCAAGATGGGCATTTGGTCACAGTAACTCAACTACTCAACGCAGCCAGAGGTGAAAACCAAATGCCAGGACAGGGATTCACGTCCAACAGCTCAGAACACTAACGCGTCGAGAGGCGGGGAGTGAATCGATTCACTAACTACCCATCTTCCTGTTCTTTGTTTTCTTTGTTCTTTGTTTTCTTCTTTCTTTCTTTTTTTCCTTTTTTTTTTTGTTCTCCTGAAGAAGCTACATACAATTGTAGCGAAACGTCGAGATGAACCCACTTTTGGGTCACTCACAAATGACACGGTCCAAACCCGGAAGACAAATAAACTATAAAATATGAATAATTAGAAAAAAATCAACATGAGGAAAAAAAATACGAAATAATTTGTATTTTTAATAAAAAAATGTAATAGTTTTTATAAATCATATAAATCTTACTAAAGGAACTTACACCAATAGGCGTAGAGAGTGTAGTCAGGATCCAAAACGGCTTTTCAGGACCCTTCCATTGTAAAAATGAGCTGAGACAGGGGGATGGACTGTCGTGTCTCTTATTTAACCCTGCATTAGAAAAAGTAATTACAGAGTGCCATATTAATACGAATGGCACCATCTTTAATAAATCAGTATAAGTGGTCGGATATGCATATGATATAGACATTATTGCTAGGTGCACAGTATCACTGATCAAAGCATTTCGATCAATAAGGGCGTCTGCACTGAGAATACTATTAATAATAAACGGACAGAAAACCAAGTATATGTATTGAACTAGATTTGGGAACCAGGTACCTAGACTATTAATTAATGATCTGAAACTGGAAGATCTGGACATGTTTGTCTACCTGAGCTAACTGCTGCCTAAAGACAACAATGTCAGCGAAGAAATTAAAAAAAGAATAGTGCTATTATGGCTTGAGGAAACAGATGGCCCAAAAACTAAACAGAAAAATTAAAATTTTTTTTTGAACCTATTCTCTATCCTTCCACTGTTGGATATAGGTCTCCCCCAGTTCTCTCCATCTTTCCCTATCTTGAGCTGTTCTCTGACATGTGGGACCTCCTTGTTTCCTGATGTCATCTTTCCCCCTTATCTGTGGTCTGCCTCTTGATCTCTTTGCATTGTATGGTCGCCACTTTCCAATGGCATTGTTCCATCGTCCGTCTTGGAGACGTTCATTGTGTCCATCCCATTTCCATTTTAGTTTTGCTGCTTGTTCTATCGCGTCTACTGTCTTTGTTCTGGTTCTGATCCACTGGTTACGTTTTCTATCTCTAAGGGCGAGCGCCCACCAAAGTGGCGTGGCAGTGGCAAGTAGCAAGTAGCACGCGTCTAGCATAATGTAACCAATGAAAACGAATGATTCAGTTTACACCAAAATGACAGTAACGTCATTCATTCTAATCATTCGTTAGGATTGGTTACATCATGCTAGACGCGTGCTACTTGCTACTTGCCACTGCTACGCCACTTTGGTGGGCGCTCGCCCTAAGTGATACACCCAACATTTGTCTCTCCATCGCTCTTTGTGCCTTTCTTATCCTATCCAAATTGGCCTGTGTAAATGTCCATGTCTGTGCTCCGTAGGTGAGCACCGGTATTATACAGTAGTTGTATACCTTGCTTGCAAAGTTTGCCGAACGCTGCCCATCCCATTCTTACTCTTCTCGATATTTCGGCTGTTTGATTTTCTCTGTTAGCTCTGATTGCTTGTCCTAGATAGATATACTTATTTACCTGTTCTATTTTTTCTGTCTTTATTTTTATTGCCTCTTGGTCTTCAGTGTTTGTCATTACTTTTGTTTTGTTGAAGTTAATTTTTAGGCCTTTTTGCAGTGATATTGATTGATATTGCATGAATATTGAAGTTACTATATATAAAACACTAATAAGGCCAGTTTTAACATACGGGTCAGAACGTGATCACTTACACAGAACGACCAAGAATTTCTTAAACGTTTCTAGAGAAAAATTCTAAGGTTAATATATGGAGGAGTCCAAGAACAGGATTTGTGGCGTAGGCGCTACAACTTTGAGTTATAAAGAAGTTTTGGGGAACCTGATATTGTAAAATGTATTCGCCTTCGATGGATAGGACCGGCGGGATGAAAATAAAACAATCAAAAAAATTTCGTCCGAAGAGCACCAGTGAGAAGACGAGCAAAAGGAAGACCAAAACGTAGATATTAATATCTAAATATCTATCTAAAGATAAATATCCAAAATAATCTAAAATCCATCGGAATTAAAGCATGGAGAAGAGTTGCCAGAGGCAGGGGCGAATGGAAGATTGTTCTAAAGAAGGCTTTGGCTCATAAAGAGCTGTAATGCCACTGATGATGATGATTGGGGATAACGTGGGGTATGAAGTAAATTTTGTAGTAAAGTTGCATAAAGTAAAAGTTCGAACATAATAATCACAGAGGCAATTATTCGCTATTTGAAAACTAAAGACAGACTTATGTAGCTTAAGGCCCCAAGAAATGGTAAAGATGATGAATCCTCAAAAGAATTTCATAATATACATAGATATGACGCGGATGACAAGAAGAAAGAAACAAGTAACTAAAAATACAAGGAGGAATGGAAAATACATATAAATATAAGAAAATTTTGTAATTGTAACTCAAAGGAACCCTTTAAAAATATTTTTAACGAAGTAAAAAATTAGTTATAAAATTATTCACACTGCATTGCCAAAAAAGACTCAAATAGTAGGAATAAAAAAAACCGAATGAGAAAATATGGATAATTAAGCAAAAAATAACATTAGGAAAACTAAAAAAAATAATACGAAAGAATTTGTATTTTTAATAAAAAAAATTAATAGTTTATATAAAGTGATATGTTTTTGTATACTTATGAATATTTATTGTTTAAATATTTCATTTTCTTTAATAATGTAGTGCTAAAGATATCCCATATAGCACCAAAAAACCAGTTCCCAAATATTGTAATTTCAAAATATTTTTTTTACATTTAATGAAATGTTAATTTATTAAAATATAGGTAAAATAATTTAAAATCGTCGTTAAAACTAAGAACATAAACTTACCTTAACTAATTTGATCACAGAAAAAACAACCGACACACTGAGAAGACCAACAATAGACTGAACCAAAGACCCTCAAATAAAAATCGCGAGTGAATTATTTCATCAACAACACACACGCACTAAAACAACAATATAAACTTTAAAGCTTGAGGTGGTACGAGAATCACGATCGAGAGTCTGGTACTTCGTTAGTTGGCCCTGTAGTCGTACGTTGTACTTTCACTATTTATTTTTTTAGTTTATTAAACTGTTGGATGGGTAAACAATTTTTTTGTTCAATGAGAAAATAACACAATATTTCGGATCCACGCCTTGGCGATGGCTGCAGCACGGATAAAAAGTGTAATTAACTGGGGCACAAAGAGAATATATACTTTTCAACTTCCCAATGAATGAACTTTGATGTGTAATGAGAACAAGTGATGAAATAAGAAAATTGTTTAAAAATTAATTATAACAGTCTCTGAAATTGAGGTGTTCCTGAAAAAGAGGTTAATTCACAATGCATAAACGAATTGTTTAAGTTTTACAATCGAAAACACAATAGCATTGCAAAAAAAAATATCTGTTGGCATCTAATTTTCGTAAAATTACAAAAAAAAAAGTATTTTTTGATACCCACAAGACCTAGGAAATCTTTATAAAACACATTTATAAGATTAACTCTTCTTCTTAACGTGCCCTATCAAGTCCCCTTGACGTTGGCGATTAACATGGCGAAACTGTCTCTGTCTCGAGCTATTCAAAAGAGTTGCTCAGCTTTCCTTATTCCTGTCCACTCCCTGATATTCTTTAACCAAGACGCCTGCTTTCTACCAATTCCTCTGCGTCCTGCGATTTTACCCATCATAATAAGTTGAAGAATATTATATCGGTCTCCTCTTACTACGTGTCCAAAATAGGCCATCTTTCTACATTTGTCAGATTAGTCGTCCATGGAATTTTTAGTATACGTCTGTGCAGCCACATTTCAAAGGCCTCCAGACGATTCTAATCTATCTATCTAATTAGCCTTCTTCAGTCCATCTTTGGACATAGGCCTCCCCAATCCTTTTCCATTGTTCTCTGTCTGTCGCAACAGTCATCCATCTAGAGCCCACGTGCTTCTTGATATCATCTGCCCATCTCATTTGGGGCCTTCCTCTGCTTCGTTTATATTCCCACGGTCTCCAACTTATAAGAATTTTGTTCCATCGGTCTTCTTTTTTGCCTTATATTGTGTCCGGCAAATCTCCATTTCAATTTTGCAACTTCTTGTCTAACATCCCTTACTTTTGTTTTCTCTCTTATCCACTCGTTTCTCTTATCCAGACGATTAATGGTGGATATTTTTAATGTCCCTGCTTCGACACCGTATAAGAGGACTGACCAAATGTAGCATTTAACCATGCGCTTTCGAAGTTGAAGTTGCAAGTTATCATTACAGAAGAATGACCTCATTTTTAAAAATGTCGTGCGGTCTCAATTCTACATTTTATCTCTTGATCTGGATCTAGTTGTTCAGTAATATGGTAACCAAATTAATTAAAACTGGATACTCTTTGAATTATATTACTATCAACATATAATCGTGCATCTTGATGTGCTAAACGGCTAAACACCATGTGTTTTGTTTTTGAACAGTTTATGTTTAGGCCAAACTCTCTTCCCACTGTTTCAATGGCATTTAAAAGGCATTGTAGTCCATTCATGTCATCACTTAAATTAACTGTATCGTTTGCATATCTGATTGTATTTATCAGAATTCCATTAACATTCACGCCCCATTCCAAATTATGCAGCGATGTTTTAAATATTCTATCTGAATATAAATGAAATAACAGTGGGGATAGTATACAACCCTATCTAACTTTTCTATGAATCGTATGTCTTGACTATCAACTTCTTTATCTTTTAATATTGTAATTAATTTTATGATGCTGTACTTGATCAAAGGCCTTGTCATAGTCAATAAATACAGCAAAGACGTCTTTCCTTTGATCTCGGCATTTCTGCAGTAATACATTTAGTGCAAAAAGGGCATTTCGAGTTTCCAGTCCATTTCTGGAGCCAAATTGTGTTTCATCCTGGTCTTCTTCACATTTATCTCTGATTCTACTGTGGATGATGCGTAGAAATATTTTCAAAGTATGGCTCATAAGGCTTATCATTTTATAATCGCTACAGTTTTTCGGACGTTGTTTTTTCTTTGTAGTGTTATGAATTCGGACTTTAACCAATCTTCAGGAATATCACCAGTCGAATAAACATCATTGAAAAGCTTGACCAGTATTCCAATGTTCTCCTCATTTATAAGCTTTAACATCTCTGTCGGTATGTTATCAGGGCCAACGGCTTTCTTGTTCTTTGCTAACTTTATAGCATGCAGTATTTCTGATTTTAGTATTTCTGGTCCTTCACCTTCAACTAAAGTCTCCAGTTCTTCGGGTCTATCATCATTATACAGTTCACTTATATAATTACACCAGGTTGTTCGAATTTCATGATCGTCTATTATTATTTTTCCCGACGAATCGGTTATAGTATGTGGAGTTTTCTTATGATAAAGACCAGCTACTTCTCTAACTTTTTTAAACATATTAAACGTATCATGTTTTTCATTCATAAGATTAACTACAATTACTTTAATCAAAACTCAAACTTAAATATATACAAAGTTCTTAACTGGTCTGAAGGACCCGATTAACATAATTTCTCCATTCACTTCTATTTCAGAAGGAAACATCGGTAGAATACTTTCGATCCCTATTTGCTAAAGGTGACGATAATGAACCACCAACACCAGAGGTGACGACACACGAAGAAATAACTATTGAAGAGGAAAAGGTAAAGGAAGCATTAAGGAAATAAAAAAATAGAAACTCACCAGGAGATTTATTTTATTTATTTATTAAAACTTACAAACACCACCTAGGTAGTAATTACATGTAAGGGTGCCATTACTTGGTATAACAATATACACACAAAAAATACAATATACACACAAGTACAAAATAAAAACACACAAAATAAAACACATTAATAAAAGGACACAAGTTAATAAAATATTAGAAATTGAGTCCATTACTTATCATACTTATTTATAACATTTTTTAATATCCCTTACACTACAGGTAAAGAGGTCTATATCACAGATCTTTATTAACTCATTGCACTGATATTGCATATAGTTTATTATTGCACCTGAATTATAAGGACTACAAGAAAATAGGTCATTACTGTTTACCCTTAGGTTGACCTTTGGCACATGAAACCTAATAAAGTTTATCAAACCACATGTCTTATATTTAACATTGTTAATGATATTATGAATAAACACAACGCAATACATGTTTCTTCTTTGCTCTAATGACTTCCAGCCAAATATTTGAAGCAACTGTATTGATGGCGTAAGGTGAGTATACACATTGTATTTCTTAAGGTATAAATACCTTAGAAATCTTTTTTGTACCTATTCTATATGATTAATATGAACTTTGGCTTCAGGAATCCATACCACTGATGCATATTCCAAGTTTGGTCTGACTAAAGCGTTATATAGTGTAATGGTTGTGTTTATACTAAAGTGTTTAGAATTTCTTATTACAAATCCCAATATTTTGTAGGCCTTATTAACAATATTTATATAGTGTTCATTAAATTTCATGTTAGCCTGTAGGTATATTCCCAGATCTTTACATTTGGTTTTCCTAGATAGTACACAATTGTCAATTCTATAATTATTTTCAATGTAATCAATTTTGCGAGTGAAGGATATGACTCCACACTTCGTAATATTCAAGATCATATTGTTGTCCCTAAACCATTCCACAACTGAGGTTAGGTCCTCCTGTAGTAACTGACAATCATTTGAAGTATGTATAGTCTTAAAAAGCTTAAAATCATCAGCATAGATCAGACTAGAAGAAAATTTAAGAGATTGTGGTAGTGAGTTGACAAAAATTAAGAAAAACAAAGGCTCTAAGTTGCTCCCTTGGGGGACACCAGATGTAGCCTGAAATTTATCTGATAAACACCTACCAATTTTGACTCGTTGAAACCTTGATTCCACATACGATTTTATAAATGTACAAGCATCATCATTAAATCGATATTTTTACCTCTACCAAAAAACAACAATCCCAAATCATGTAATGACTATAGATTAATAAGCCTAATGTGCCACCCTTTAAAGATTCTTTTGAAAATTGTTCAAAACCGAATTTATAAGAAATGTGAGGAACAGATAGATGAAACTCAGTTTGGCTTCAGAGGAGGCATGGGAACAAGAGAGGCATTATTTGCGTTGACGGTACTCTTGCAGAAATGTCGGGAATATAACAAGAGTGCATATGTATGCTTCATAGACTTTAGGAAGGCCTTTGACCGAGTGCAGCATATGAAGTTAATAGATGAATTAAAAAACATCAATTTAGACAAAAAAGACATTGAGTTTATTAAGGCTATATACTGGAACCAGAAAGCAGTAGTAAAGGTGAACGATATAGAAACAAATAATATACCGATTGCGAGAGGGGTTAGGCAAGGATGCGTCTTGTCTCCGACGCTTTTCAACGTGTACTCACAGGTCATATTCAGAAAAGCCTTATGGGAAAGAAAAGAGGGAATAAGAATTGGTGGAGAAATCATAAACACCATGAGATTTGCAGATGACACGGTAATTATGGCTGAGAGTATAGAAGATCTACAAACTTTACTAGATGCAATAAATAGTGAATGCATTCAAATGGGACTTGACATCAACACAGATAAGACCAAATTTATGATAGTATCAAGGAGTCCAATAAATAATGAACAACTAACTCTTGGTGGACAGCAAATAGAGAGAGTGACAAAATATAAATATCTGGGAGCTTACATCAACACAGAATTAGATCCAGACCAAGAGATCCAGATACGAATAGAAATGGCAAGGGCAGCATTCTTAAAATTCAAACAATTGTTCTGTGACAAAAATCTGAATATTGCGCTGAGACTGAGGTTTGTTGAATGTTACGTCTGGTCGCAATTATTGTACGGGGTTGACACTAAAAGCGCAAATAGTTAAAAAGATTGAAGCCTTTGAACTTTGGATATACCGGAGAATGTTGAGAATCCCATGGACTGCCAGGGTCACCAA